GGGGCCGCGGGAAGGGGGGCGCCCATGTGGGGGCCGAGGTGTCAGCAGCGCGGGAGGCGGCGTGTCGCCGCGTCGCGCTCGGGCGGGCCCGCGGGTCCCGGCCCCGCTTCCTGGGCCTCGGGAGTTTGCCTAGAGCGCGGGGCACGGTGAGGGGCGCCTCTCTCCAGCCCTCACCTCCTCGCGCCTCGGCCGTCGCCATCTTGGGGAGCTTTCATTCAAACTGGCGCGGTCGGACCGGATAGCTCAGCGGGCCTGACGCCCCGCCCCCGCCCGGCACGCACTTGGAGTCGGGGGCCGGGGCTCGGGGCTGGAACCCGCGAGGCGTCCTGACGTCACCGGGGCCCGACCCCGGCCGCGGCGGCGAGCGCGCCTGCGCCCCACGTCGCATCCCGGCGCGCGGCCCCGAGGGGCGGGCTCTACGGGCGGGGGCGGGGCGCTCAGCCGGGCTCGCGCAGCGAGCCATTCGGGGGCCGTACATCAGGCCTCCGCGGGCCTTTTCGTTCTTTTACACGGGCACTCCGTGTACACTGTACAAAATTCAGACCGTAGAGCGGAGCTGTATGGTGCAGAGTACGTTTCCCTCCCAGGCCTGTTCCTCAGCCACCTGAGCCCAACTGACCATTACGTTTCCTTCTCGTTCCTCCCCTGGATCCCAGGTTCTCAACACTGGCTGCGCGCTGGGATCACTTGGAGAGGTTTTGTGTTTTGGCCCCACTCGCGGAGACTGATGTCACGCGTATGGGGTGTGACCTGGGCACCGGAGGTTTAGAGCTCCCCAGGGGATTCTGGTGTGCAGCACAGTTTGAAACCACCGGTCCAGATCAGTGCTTCTCATACGTGAATGGGCACAGGAATCATCTGGGGATCTTGTTAAAATGCACATTCGAATTAGGTAGGTCTGGGCTGGGACCCGAGGTCTGCATTTCTGACGAGGTCCCAGGCTGTGCCCGATGCTTCGAGGTCGGGGGCCACACCTTGGTGGCAGGGCTGCGTGAGGCCCACGTCCGCTCCCCAGGACAACTCCAGGAGCTCTTAACTGGTCTCCACCCACCCCGCCCCCATCCAGTCTTCACACTGCATCCATGGTGACTGTTCTCAACAATCCAAAGCAGAAATCTTGGAAGAGGAAATTGCGAAAACTTCAGTTGAAAGTCCTTTGATATCTACCAAGGATTTTTAAAAGAAATTTATGTAAAAAATTACAAAAATATTTCAAAGCATCATGTATAAATTTGAAACACTGGAAGTAAACACAGAACATTAAATTGATTCCCTTATGAAATACTGTCTAGCCATTAAAAAATGTTTATGAAGGCTTTAGTATTGGGGAAGTGTTTAATATGTTAAGCAAAACAAACAACAAAAATCTATAAAATACAGTTTCAACTATGTAAGAAACAATGTACTATAGGAAGACAAATATAAAACCTCTGGGGAGTGATTTCCTTTTTGATCTGTAGTTTTTACATATTGAAGCATTTTCTATAATGAGTATCTTATTACCCTGATGATAAGGAATAAAGGTCCTATCCAGCCCTTTCACACGGAAGGCCCTTTGTGATATGGTGGTTCCTGTCCACTTCTCAAACCTCATTGCTAATAATTTCCTCCTATTCTAATTCGTCACTTCCTCGAATATTACCCATTTCCTGTCCCCAGGACTTCGGTCAATCCTGTTCTCTCTGCCTACAAAATGCCTACTTTTTCCCCATCTTTGCTAGGATTACTCCTACAGACCCTTTAAGACTTAGATAGAGCCTCACCTCCTTCCCAGGGCTTCTCTCCCCGCCCCCCCAAATGTACTCACCGCCCTCCTGGATATCCTAACAGCACCCCATGAGCATCCATCCTTACTCAATTTCTTTCTCAGTTTTCCTTCTACCTCCTTGGCCACTCTTGACTCCCCTTTTTGGCTCCTCTTCCTCTATCTGACCTAAATGCTGGTGTTCCTCAGGGCTTGGCCCCAAGACGTTTCTCTTCTGCTCTCTCCCTAAGTGACTGCCTCAATTCCCATGGATTTAAATATCATCTTTATGCTTAAGATTCTGTGTTTTGTCTCCAGCCCTGCCTGACCTCTGCCCTGAGTTCCAGACTTGAATATCCACAGTGCCTAGCTGACAGATCCCCTTAGGTGTTGCACAAACATCTCAAATTGAACATACTCCTAACAATACCCTTCATTTTTGCCTCCAGATGTGGTCCTCTCCACTGCATGCCCCACAAACTTTCTCATCTCAATACAGTGGCACACCACCTACTCATATGTTCTACAAGGAAATCTAGGTGTCATCTTGATTCACCCTCTCCTGATTCTCTAAGTTAATTCCATTAGCAAGTTGTGTCAATTCTATGTTCAAAATATACCTTGATTTGGCCTCTTTTCTCCATCACTACTGCTAATACCACCTTAGCACAGGCCGTCATTTCTCAACTGGAATCCTGAAAAAGCCTACCTGGTTTCACTTCCACTACTGCTCCCCTCCAATCATTTCCCATACAGCTGAAAAGTGACCTTAAAACATAAAGTGGAACATGTCCTTCTCCTGTTCTCAATACTTCCCAATGTACCTAGAATAAAATCCAAACCTTCCAACGGCCTATACAGCCTTCTGTACCTGGAACCCTGCCTCCCCAACCTTCCTTTGTGCCATCCTCCCCTTTGCTCACTCTTCTCTAGGACTTTTTTCACTCATTCAGAAATCTTTGATTGTGCATCTCCTATGTGCGAGGCACTGTACATGGTGCTGGGAATATAACAGGGGACAAGAAAGAAAAAGACCCTGACCTCATAAAGCTTATATCCCAGCAGGAGGAGCAGGTAACAAGCAAGGAAATAAATAACTTTAGGAAACTCTCAATTACTTCCTAGTTCAGAGGACATGCTCCTCGCTTTCTTCATATGGCTACCTTTACGGGTCTCAGCTGAAATGTCACTTCTTCAGAGGCCTCTCCTGGTCACCCTATCTAAAGTAGGTACCTCCCGTCTTCCATTCTCTCTTCTTTGCACCCTTAAATGCACTTATCAAAATCTGCAGTTACCCTAATTTGGGTCTTGATCAGTTTCAGTATACATTTACAGAATGAATGTATTAGACTCGTCTGTAAATCTACTGTTTCCTTTGTTTTTCTAGTCTTGAATCCCATTAATTCCAGGGGATAGATTAGGCCTTGTCTCTTCAACATGCATGACTGTGTATACTATCAAGAACAGTGACTCACAGAGTATGGTACAGGGACCCTGAGACCCTTCAGGGGGCTCATAATTTCAAAACTATTTTCATAATACTACCAAGATGCTATCTGCCTTCTTTACTCTCCTCTCACAAGTATACAGTGAAGTTTTCCAGAGGTTATACAATGTGGATATTGCAAGAGATTGAATGAAGAAGATACCAGAATAGAGCTATCTTCTTAAACCAGGTATTAAAAGAGATTTGAAAAAACATAAAATAACACTCTTGCCACTAAATTTTTGTTTTTGAAGTTATTTTTCATAAAAATGTTACTTAGGTTAACAGGTAATGTTTTTTGTTATTTAAAAACGATTATTTAAAAAATCTCTTGGTTTTGATTTCTATATGGTAAATAACGTGTATATATATATATACGTATATATATATATATATAAAACCAATACAAACACAAGCTCTTCAGGTTCACGGTAATTTTTAAGAGTATAAAGGAGTCTTGAGACTAAAAAGGGTGAGGATCTTGGTAAACCCTGGCTCTAAATGGAGAGGGAAATCAAAAGCCACCGAGAGACACATACCAGGGTCCTCAAGGGGACAATACAGCATTATGCCTCCACCCCCCCGCCCCATTTTTTTCCATAAAAACCATTGAAAACATGATTTCTGGAGGTCCATGGAGAGTCTCCTATTCCATTTAATTAAAATAATGCACAAAATGTGCTCAGAATAGTAAGTGATCAAGAAAACAAGTTTACAAAAAAAGCATCTGAATATTAGTTCAAAATTCACCATTTAGTTACTGTGAGACTTTGGATAAATTATTTAACTTCTCTGAATCTATTTCCACATCTAGAACAAAATACACACCATACTACTCTCTACATATTGCAACTACTCATGGAGCCGTGGTGAGATCACAATTAAAAAATGAGATAACTTAAAGGAAATAAACAGTAGTATTGTTATAAATGTTACATGGTCACTCATTGTTATTTTAGAAATCCTGACATTTTCCCATAGAACTTGTTTTGTGCTCTGATACTTTTTTTTTTTTATCTTTAAAAGCTCTTACACAGATAAAAGCTTTCAGTTTGTGATGAAATATTTTGTGGCCTCCCAAGACTTTCACAGTATTATAGATAGGCATTTCTTTCTATTTTTATATTTGGCTCTGTCCTTTAGACAATGTCAGACATGTAAACAGGTAAAATTACAATTTCATATAAGCTTTTGCTGGTAAAAGTGAAGTTTTTAAATATATATGTGACACTACAAAGATAACTGGCAAGTGCATGAAAAGATTATCAAGATGTTCACCAAAAATATCTTAACAGTTGTTACTCTGGGTGGTAGACTATAGGATGTTTTATATTTTCTTCTTTTTTAATTTTATAATGAACATGTATCATTTTATAATCAGAAGAATGTTAAAGCTATTTTCACCTTAAAAAATAAAAAAACCCTAGAAAATTTAATTGGCAAATGCTCCACAAATTCAGAAGGAAAAAACTTAGTCACCTGAAGATATAAGGAAATTTGGGAGTATATTTCATTAGGCAACAAAGCACTTTTTTCTGAGGCAGATTCACCCTGCGCGAACATTGGTTGCCAATCTTCCTCTTTTTTTGCTTGAGGAAGAGTGGCCCTGAGCTAACACCTATGCCAATCTTCCTCTATTTTGCATGTGGGATGCCACCACAGCATGGCTGGTAAACAATGTAGGCCGGTGCCCGGGATCCGAACCTGCGAACCCGGGCTGCAGAAGCGGAGGGCATAGAACTATAACCACTCAGCCACAGGGCCAGCCCCACAACAAAGCACTTTTGATGACAATTTGAAATTTGATATGTTTGGGGAAAAAATCATGCAAAGCTGACCAATGAAGTCAGAAGTGGTGGTATTTCTTTCCTTCTTTATTGTGTTTCTAACCAAACCATAAAATATGCAAAAGATATCCTTACTGGCCATTGTCCTGTAGGATACAAAGATGACATTGTTATGTTTTCTTCCATGTAATTCACTTATTCAACAGACATTTACTGAACACCTATGTTCAGGTATTGTCCTAGGGGCTGGGACATAATGGTGACCAGAACTGAGAGTCTGCTCTCACAATGCTTAATAATTTAGTGGAGAAAGCAGTCAAATAAGTAAATTATTACAAAGATCTGGAAGAAAACTC